TTGCTTACGTGCATGTTTATATAATTATGTATGCATACATACTTACACCACCCGCACACATACACATATACGTACAGCCAGACAGACAGACAGACGGACGGACGGACGGACGGACGGACGGACGGACAGACAGAGAGGCAGACGACGCACGGACGGAAGGACGAACGGACGCACAGACGGACGCTTAGAACAGACAGACGGACGGACGGACGGGCGGACGGACGGACGGACGGACAGACAGACAGACACACACACACACACAAACACACAGAGACGCATACAAGAACACTTGCATTCAGAAGGCACGGCACTGGAGCCGCTGCCGGAAATCTGCAGAATTTTATTACCGGGAGAACGTCCCCCTAAAGCTACACAACAAAAAAGAATATGTGCTTCGAAGCCAACGACACAATGGCTTTCCATGTTTTTCCGACCTTGAAGCCAAAACAGGCCTTGCCTGCCAAAAATCCTGGAAATTTGATGACCGGGAGAATGCCTGCCAACAATCCCGGAAATTTTTATTGACCGGGAGCATGTCCCCCTCGAGCTACCAAAGTGTGGGAATTTTTATTCCCGCGAGATGTCCTAAAGCTACCGAAATGTCTGAAATGTTAGTACCGGGAGCTAAAGGCTCGCGGTACTGAAATTTCCAGAATTTTCGTACCGCGAGACAAGCATGCAGGAGGATTTGAAAAGGCAACGCGTCAAAGTACCAAGTTCCAGGGGACCGGGGGTGCGGACAAAAAACGGACGCGACCAGCACGACATCTGTTGTTACTAGATATATCCCATTGCGTCCAATATCGATATTTAACCCGACATATCTTCCAAATCTTGCTGTTAAATTATAAGAATATAATCTAAACAGTACTGACTAGATACATCATTTTCATATGATTTCAGCGAAATTTAAATCTCTATAAGTCTACATGCTCATGTTATTTCAATATATTTTCAGACTTACCACAGTTCCATACAGGTGTTTCGTCTAAATATAGCAATAGACTAGTTCATTATCATATAGCTTCAAAGTACAATAGAAAGAAGTATCACACACATGTTTGTTGAATATTTCACCCTATCTATATATATATATATATAGATATCTACATATATCTATACATATACCGACCAGATTATTGCAAATCAATGGAAACTGTCCTCCCAATTGCATGGAGCTTTCAGCTAGATAGATGCATTTAATCGGCTTGTATCCCACTACGAAGACTGGACTCAGTTTGACACTTATGCTGGCGCAGGTGTTGACACTGTCATGAGCAGGCCAGATGATTCCTGCTGCACTCTCCTTTGACGATTGATACCGTGCACGGAGTTGCTAGATCCGAGATGAGGGGGATGTCGCATCGCCCTGTGCCGCATTTTCTCGCCATCAACGTCCTGGTGAGAGCCCACCTGCTTCACGATCGATTGCATAAGTGGAAGCAGAGAGAAGCTGCAGAGATGTGGCATTTAGGCAAAGTCTTAACAAACAAACGTAAGCTGCACTTATGGAAGGAGGCTGTGTGCAAGTATAAACGAGGCTCGCTTTCCCTTGTGGCCCAAAGTCCTGACAACATTCGATGACATGATTCAACTTCCACGTCAGAACTTGGATCTGCCCAATCTGCTGCTCTCGTTGTGCTATTCAGCCCTGGTGCATGTCGACCTACTACAAATCTGGGGTAGCAGCCAGGCGTGTAGAATCTGTACACCGCGTAGACAATGAGCCTTTGTTGACGAAGCATGGGGCAGTCGTTCTTGATGCGCCCGCTAGACCCGAAATCACCCAGAGCTCACACGAGTGGCGGCTTCGTTCCAGGCAAAGTTCCGAACATGTTGCATGTAGCTGATAACCGAAGTATGCTGATCGACACCGGCAACCTGCACCGCACCTGGACATGCGCAAGGTCGGTTGAACCCCATCTGAATCTAGAGGTCAATTCCACAAAACCACATCACACATGCTGTGCACTGAGGGGCGAGCAGAACGAACAAAATGATCGACAGTATCAGATTTCTGAAGCCTGCCTGTGTGGGCGGATGCGAGGGACAGAGGCGGGAGTGCCGTCAACCAGACAGGAAGAATCCTCTCGATCTCAATGCGACTCGCTGCAGGCTGTGCTGGTTTCTGCAGGACTGGGGGACCCGATGGGAACACACTCGACAACCGATGTCTCTCGTCTCTCGCCCTGAGCTTCCACAACCTTTGCAATACTCAAGCTGCGAATTGCCGAAGCCTCTCTGGTCGCTGTTTTCGCGGGGGGCGTTGCTGCATACCTGAGCACATTTGCTGGGATCCACATCTGGCACGACACGGCTAGCCGCTAGCCTTCTGTTAGTACCACCAGCCAGCCATCTTGCAGACCATGCAAAATACTCCTGGATACTTCCCTAGGCAAACGGATCATCAATGGCCGATATCAGCTTTGCTACCCCATCATCATGCTGGTATCGAAAACTGAACGACTAAACAACAAGTCCCACAGGCTCAGGCTGCTGCGAAATGACGTTTCAGCTGAGAAAGCTATAAGGGCGTTGTAGAATGGTGTTCGGTCCGAGTCATGTTCTTCGTGTCTCAGGACGCTTAATCCCATCTCGCGACTAACTCTCCAATACCGGGTGCCGGGCATTGCCGCACCGACGAGCCACAGCGGCGGAAACAGAATTCCAATTGTGCAGATCAACTGTTGGCATCGTGGATTGTCGTCCTGCCGGCATGTGAATCCGGGTGCAAAAACTCGTTCGTTTGAGTAACATTTTTTCGTCTCACCAAACTAATGTCTCACCATCGACCAGCGACACCTTCTGCTGCCTCACTCCACATGTTGGACCAGCAACCCTTTGACCTCTGGAGCATCGCAGCCAGTCCTCGTAGACTGCCAATCTGTCTTGCAGCTTTGGCCGATTCCTAGACCGGGAGAGTTGGTCATGACCATGGGCAGCCGACAGTGGCAAAGATCTCAAGTTGCTGCAGCATTTCTGCTGCTTGCACGTATTGCTGATGTCGGTGTTAGTGCTGATTAACTACTGCCACTTATAACATACGTGCTGTCCCTGCTACTGAACCTGCAGTCCACGTTCCTCTTGTTGTTGTTGCTGCTGATGCTGGTGTTCTTAAACGTCGCCATCTTCTGACCTGACTGTACTTGAGTTGCAGTTGTCTCTCTTGTCGCAGATCTTGCTGTTCGTTCGTATGCTTGTGTTGAAAGCTGTTTCGTTGCGTTGCATTCAGTCTTGCCACAAGTGCTATCGGCTTGCTACTGATCTTGTGTTTGCATCGCTGTGTCCGAACTGATGCCGCTCTCTGTCCTTCTTGCGCTGCTGTTGAACGTGCGTTGTTGATTGTCATTGCTCGCGCGGCTGTCACCGTCAATGCATGAACAGCTACCGTAAAATACAGAACAACAAGACTCATCGCACACCTCCACGATGAGCGCGCTGCGGACAAGCCCGACCAAGGCATTACATGGATGCGCCAAAGAATAGCTAGATGTCCAACTTAAGCAATGCGCAACCTTAAACCATACCGACGACCCTTAAGCCGCAAGATGTCAGGCCGAAGTCCTCGGACGGTCGACACTGAATGACGAAGAAGTCGACGGAGGCTTCCTGGCACGTGTCGGAAGTCTCATTCAACCCAAGCCGACTGGGAACATGATTCAGCTACGTACATCGTGCTGGCTGCTGAAACCGAACTCGCATTGTTGTGCTTCCAGTCGGAGGTGAAGCCTTCCTCTTGAACCAAGGTCCGGGCGACACTGGTATATCGCTTGGCAGCTGGCTGCCGAACACCTGTGGCGTAGGCGGCGTGTACCTCGCGAAAGCTTGAAAGCCAGGCAAAGCCAGCTCGACAATGGCCTTGGCATAAGAAGAAATTACCAGCAGCAGTCTGAATGCAACGATGCAACCATCCATGCAGACAGCAGTGCTCAACTCCGGATTAATAGTGCCTGGTTCATGTATGACCGCTGTGTGGTAAAGCACGTCATGTGGCCATCACTTCGCCTACAGCACCACATTTCCAAACCATCACGATGCAGCCGCTGCACTGCACGGTCTCGTATTTCGGCCGCTTCGGTTTTGTCATCCTGGCGCATCCGATCTACTGGGTCAAAAGCAGAAGCAAGAGTTTAGGTAGCTCGTTCTGCGAATCCAAAGACAGCTTTTTTCCCGGTGACACTTTTGTCAATTGAAGTAACCCTTATGTGAACCTGTATGCCTTGCAATAACCCGCAAAGGAATTCTTTCAGTAACACTTTTCAGTAACTGGCATTGCCAACCTGGACGCTGCCCCCTGCAGGCTGCCCCAATTTCAGCGCACTTGTTGCTGTGGTTTCTATGCTTTGTTTCGCTGTTGGGTAAGCTGCTTAGGGTTGGAAGCATCGAGAAAGCGCTGTCCAAGCTACTACAAGTATTGGACTGGCCGCAATGTGTGTACAGCACCGTGGTGTTAAAAAGGATGCAGCTGGAGCCGAAATCTGCGGCACGACAGGCAGGAAGCCAAACTTCCATCTCGCACCCGTTGTCACAGATGGTTTCCAATCTCAAAGGCACAGTACTCATGCCATCACGCCAGAGAGAAGGCCATCCATGAAAGCCAATAAGGAAGTCTCGAGCAGCTTTTCCGGGACCCTCCAGCAAAACTGGTCAAGAGAAGTATCGCCCAAGCTTTTCGCAACCTCAGTCTTCTACGGAAAATCAGACATGCCTCAAATGAAACTGACGACTTTCAAAAAGACGGCGGCAGGTAAGGAGCTCACAACAAAAGCGTGCCGCACTTTCGACAAAAACCCTACGCGGACTACGCTCCCTGGGGAATGGCTAGGCAAGCACATGAATACAATACGCCTTTACATAGCGCAGACACGGCAAAAAAGACGCTACTCACTTTGAAAGAGAGACCCAGAGAAAGCGCGCTCACCTCTGAGCCAAGGAAACGGAGGAGCTCCAACTGCGTCGCAAGAACCAGGTCAGAACGTGGGAACAATCAGCACATGACACGAGGCATCAGTTCAAGATCGGCTCTTTTGGCTGCACGACCAAACCAAGTCTGTCTGTTGACGTCAGAGATCCTGTAAAGGCCAGAACGATCGAAACCCCTGCTCAGGGTTCCGATTGTTACGACTTCCAGCTTGACCTCCGTGAGCTCTGACTGTCATAAGGCTTTGCGAGATCTCTGCTTTCAACCTGATCTAGCTATCTACAAAGCCGAGCGCCGGCCCATGCGGCTTGCGAACTCCTGCACGAAGTTGGTTGGTTCTGGGCAACAAGCCGTGGTAACGCAGGTTGTGCACGGAGGCTGGAGGGTGAGAGAGCGATCAGAACATTTTCTTCTGAGGTGTGATATGTTGCTATGTAATCTTCAAAAACCCCATGTAAGCTTTGCTTTTTAGGGTTTGCAGTATAGGGCAGCAAGTTCAGTATACCTCAAAGAGGCGCGAAAGTGTTTGGAGGGGGCTTTGTTGCACACCTGAAAGCCTTCTCCGCTCAGCTGCAGCCTTAATGTATTCCGTGTCTCTGAATCTCCGTTTAGACACTACCCGTGACGCTGACCCGTCCTGCCGCAGTTCGGATGGCAAGGTCCGCGGATCCAAGCACAGGCGAACCTGGAAGGGGATGTTGCTCCCGAATCGAATATGAAAATCAGACAGGGCCACAGGCACTTACTTTCCCCCAAATTGGCACCCTAAGCGACAAAGAAACAAAGAGGTCTGATCCACTCAGTAGGCTTAATGAGGTGTCTGAGTCTTGGGGCTTGTGTTTGTAGTTCCGAGATTCAGCCGTGACGCGGGTCCGGATCGCCTATGGTCTAGACACCCAACCCGCCATCAGCATCTCTCCTCGCCTTCATTGTCGTCGCCGTCGTCGTCGTGCTCCTCCTCCTCCATCATCGCGACCATCCCTCGCCGCCACCACCACCATCATCCACAGTATAAGCATCTTCATAAAAACCAATGAAAAGCACACGGCTCGTCGCCATGATCGTCCACACCAGCGTTCTCTTCATCACTTTCCTGATCGTCCGCATCTCAGTCGTCATCCCGATCGCCCTCATCTTGAAAATAAGGAAGAGTAAGAACCTACCCACCAGAACCGTAAGCAGGGCGGCTACGCAGCCGTGACGGAAATGAAACCGTTCCACCATAGTGCTGTGGACTGCACCAAGTCAGGTTAGCTTTCGGGCGCCGCAATGGTTGAAATGACGGATTACCAGCAAGACCTCTTACATTAACATGGAATCTCGCCCTGAACCCCCAAGACCCTAAAATCCCAAAGCCCCGCCACAAACCTTCAGATCATCCCTAAACCCCAACATCCTACACCTTCAAGTCATCCCTAAAACCCTCCGATGCCCACCCTCCACCCCCGTGGCAGCAAAAAAAAGGCCTGGTCGGGCAACGAGTTGGCCATGGTCAGAGCCTTCGAGTTGCCGTGGTAGCCAGGGTTTAGGGTTCATTGCTTTTGGTTTAAGGTTTAAAACTTCGGGTTCAGGGTTTAGGGCTTAGGGTTTAGGGCTACTAAAACAGTGATTGTAAAAGTTACTGTGCTAGCTGCTACTGTAGTTGCTACGCTAGTCACGCGGATAGTTGCTGGAACCGCTGCTTTACCAGTTGCCCAAAGAGTTGCAACAAGGGGGCACTAAGAGTCTGAGGGTCTACTTTAGCGGCTGCAAGGACACCACTTCTGCTTCTACACTACTAGTATCCCCGGTGCAAACACTCGTATCGTTGCTTTGCCGCTAGTGCTAACAGCAGTACGGACGGGGTCCCGGGATCAAGTTTTCGATTCTCGTTGGGGGTTGAGGGACTAAGGCTCTAAATCTAGTAACATCTAGTAACTAGAAAATTTTGTAAGGTTCAGAGATTAAGTTCCATGGGTAATTACCTCATAGCGGTGCTTAAAAGTACAATGCTGGATTTGGGTTTAAGGATTAGTTTAAGGTTTAGGCTTAATTAATGGCAGCGCGGACGCCTATATCCTGAAGCGGCAAAAGCTGGCGTGTGCCGTGCAAGCGTAAGACTTTTGCTTCGCAATCTTGGCTCAGGGTGCTTAGTTCTGGTATTTTGAGCCAAGACGCAGAAACTCAGCCGGCACTGCAGGTTTCGTTATCTTGTCCGTCATCAACTGTTCCATGACAGCGAGCGCACGCACGGCCAAGCTGCTTGAGAGACCAGAGCCTCGATGTTCAATAATCTCTTTGAATGACATGCCCAAAGCATATTTGTCCAGAGCAACGCGGCACCACCCTCCAAACATGAGTGGTGCAAAATACAATGATCCCGGTCCGTGCTGGCTCGGCTTATCCAAGGATTCGGAGGAATCAAAATCGACAAGTTTCAGCTTCCAGACGTTCGATTCGTCATCCTTCTTCAGGTGGACCATTTCGAGGACAAATGTCGCGATGTGCAACTCGCATGCTGTGCAGGTAGCTCATGGCGCCCCATGCGCATCCAAATGCATCGCGTAGTCCAAGGTTGGGTATGTTGAGCACTGTCGTGCTTTCTTCCAACGAGGAACCCAGCAGTTCAAAGGCAATTGCCGGTACAGGACGGCTTGCTGTGAAAATTACCCTGGCAACAAAGGGGTGCCGGAGCTTGCACATAATCTCCGCTTCGTGGAAAAAGTCGCTCCCCTTGCAGACGTGCTGCTCATGGTGCTTGCATTTGAGGGCACATTTCATGGTAGATTTGTGGAACCTGGCTGCAAACACCTTGCCCCAGGCGCCCTTTCCAATCTGAACCTCCGTGGGCGACCACGTCTGGCCAATGAGGAACAACAGCCAACAGCTCTGTGTTTTTCAGGGCGCCTCGCATACTTTGAGGCCTGGACCCCAGGAGCCGTGGAAGAACGTGAGCACAAGGTGCTTGGGAACTCTTTGTGGCCTTCTGGTGGGACCCTCCACCTGGCGTGTCCAGGAAACGCAGCAGGTGATAGTGTCCTGGCCCTGGGCCAGCATGCCCTCGCCCACCAAAGCGAGCGCCTTTCGAAAACGACATGGCTACGGCGACGGTAACTTCCAAATCATTATAGTATAGAAGGTTTCCAGCTTAGCGCCTAAGTGCCAGGTTTGAGTGACAACTCTGCTAACTACCCCACACAGTTGAAAAGTTAATAAATGAAAATATCTGCACCAGAAAGCTGCAACAGGAGCTACACGCTCAGCTTACGAGCCGGGCTATCGCAGGTCATCACGGTGTTTGTATGAAGTCCGTGGCATGGGAATCGGAACTGCGTTGCCGGCAACAGTGCTGCAGAAAAAACTTCATGGTGGTGGGTAGGGAGTAAGGGAATACATTAGATAAGGATGATGATAGAGGTTACTTCACCTTATAGCCTACTAACTTCAACTGCCATCAAATGCTGATGGGTGGATCGGCAGTCAAACATGCTTTGGCTTTGCGCCACAACCCAGGGTTGTCGACCGTCTGTGTTTTGTGCAAGAGCACATGATGTCAACGAATGCGAGATTTTTGTAGGTGAGCCGTGTTTTCGGGATGATGTGATAAAGTGTGACAGATGTGCCGAAAAGGTTCAGAGTGTCATAAGGCTCAAGACTGTCATGTTTGGGGCTTTCAATGCCCGGGTAGGTACCCTGAGCCTCGTCCTCGAAGGTGGCGAGGAGGAAGAGCATGCAGCGCACCTCCCGACATGCTTCACAGGTTGAGTTGTTGGTCAACCTGGCGCATAGCACTTCGGCTACTGACGACAGCTTCTTGGGCTGCGATTGTCTTTCGTGGTTGAAGCACACGACTATGTAAAACAATGTCTTTACGCAGCGGCTGTAACTCATCCGCACCTCATCAGCGCTGCCGGGCCCTTGGGAGTTCATGGCCTTCCCCAATGCCTGAAGAAAGAAGAGGTCGTGTTCAACTCCCAGCTTTTGGTGAAACTGTGACGCGATTTAACCTCTGAATCTCATAGCAAGAGCCAGCTATTGCAAGAGCTGCTACAAGAATCAGTATGTGGGAGGCTCATGAAAGACAGTTTTGGATGAGAACCAAGGTCAAAGCCACGGAGCCTGCCTGCGCCGTGAGCCCGTACCGCTCGAAATTCGCATCTGAAAAAGCGAAGACGAAACGATCGTCGGCAGGTCCGGACGTAGCAACCTTCGTGCAGTCATCATGTGTCTTAGAAACTCAAGGCTTGAGCAAAAACACGTGTTGAACAACGAGAGAGCAAGAGGGCCGAGAGGGTGGAAGGGGCCCACATGTTCGGCTTATTTCGGCTTGCAGCAGTTGCAGCAGCAGGACAACTATACAATTCCGTCCAGCGAAAGAAGTCTGCCAAGGATCCCTGGCTGCAGATGGATTGCGTAAAGCTACCTTGTACTTCCACGACATCGGGTGAGCCCAAAACCGAATATCATCAGCTTCTGGATTTGCACTGGATTTGCTGAGGCCTTTCGTACCCATGGGAGTTGCGGTTCTGCTGTGGAACCGGAGGGATGCGAACGTGACAAGATTGCCAGAGATGGAGCACCAAGCACTTCCGACTTCTGATGCTCTCAAAGCGATGATCCCAACCTAAGCAACACGGTCGCCTTCTCAACGGCTTTCTCGATGGCTTCTAGGGTGTTGTCCCCGGAGCTGCAGTACCTGCCGAAGGCTTCTTGAGTTCCTGAAGCCCAAACTTGGCTCCACGTGACAGGGCATCTTTGGCAGCAACGCCCCTCAAAGCAACCCTTTGCTTCCCTGCCAAGGTCCCTCAACCTTGCCACCTGGTACGCACTGATTCGGCTGAACCGTGCCGGAGCAAGCCCTTCGGTGTGCAGCTGGGTTGCTGGGCAGCAGCCACAAGCTTCGACACCTCTTCTTTCCAACCAAAGAAATTAAATGCAAGGCTAGTGGTCATGCCCTGTAGCTGCCCCAGCAGTATCTTGGCTGTGTTGAGATTTCGAAGGTGGAAGCGTAGACACAAGATTCGCTGCCAGACCTCGAAGAGCCTGACTGATCATCTTGCAGTACAGCTTCTGGCTGCTCCGGTAAGGCCCAAACCACCGTGAGGCGTGCTCGTTCATCGGCAGGCGGCTGACCGAACGGCACAAGCTCCTCTCCAAAAGCTGATTAGCTGGTTCGGGCGGGTGCAACTGCAAATGTCCTCATGCTCCGGGCATATCGCTTGCAGTCCGAGCAATATGCGCGAGAAGAAATTCAAAAATCTGTGATATCCCTGAATTCCTTGAGACTGATCAGAGTCCTGCAAGGGGCTGTCTCCGTCGTGACAGCACAGGGAGTAGTCAAAGCGAGATTCCAAGCCTCAGGAGCTTCAGGGTCTTGAAAAAATCCCAGTACCCCACGGAGCCTTTTGGGGCCCCTCGCCTTCGCTGTGCAGCCGAGATACCCTGAAGTGCCTCCATGATCATCACAGCCGTCTCGCAGGTCCTGCGGAGCCGGCCGTCGGTGCCGTTGAAGCGGTACATCGACCTCACAACTGGGAAGGGCAGCCGGAGCTGCATCTCTCCCGCAGTGAGAGGCGTTGCACTTCAAACACCCTCTTCGGGGTCCAGCTTCGGCTGAATGGGACTGCATTTGAGGAGATTGGATTGGACAGAAAGGTACACCATGGCCCTGTCCAACCTGAGAAGCTCATCGCCAACTCAAGACTTCCTGTCCAAGCCTCCCCTTAGACAAAACACATCTGTCGTGCTTCCAAACTAATCTATGTAGGGCTTCGCACAAAGGACCGTACTGATGATGTCGATCAGGTCTGATGCAACCTGCTACGCTCAAAAGACTTCATGCGAATCCCAACCCCGACGGTCAAGGAATGCACCCTGACTTTCAGTCAGCTTGACCCGCCAACACCTCTCTGAATGGCAGTCCAGGCACGCTGAGGCGTCCTGGGCTCCAATCTCGCAGCTCGACATTTTTGGAGCAGCGGGCAGTTTTTTGCAGTCGGCATGGCGGAAATCGAGACTTTGTTGTCATACACCACTGGTGCGAGTATGAAGCGAAAGGTTATCTGGGTCTACCCGCTGCATACTGACGGTCCACGTCTGGACAGCGTTCCAAAATTCGGGGGCATTGAGATGCCAACAACGTCGGAGAGTAAGAATGGATCGTCCTTCTACTGCTTTATTTTGTAGCCCATCTCCTCTCGCATGATCCTAAACCCGACCTTCAAAACGCCTGCAAACCAAACCCTGGGCCCTAAACTGCACCCTAAATCTCAAGACCCCACACTAAAACTCATCCGAAATCTCAAACCCTAAACTTTCAACCGAGGTGCGAAAAGGAAGAGCGCCCGCTTCGGCTGCATTGGTGGCTCCCCCGGTCGAGGCTCTCTCTCCCGACGGCGCCTGCGGAAAAAGCGCAAGAAGACGAATGGTTGGCCCTTTAAATATTAATAAATAGGGTCCTCTTAAGACCCGTAAGGGCAAAAATATCCCAAAGGCCTACCTAGACGAATGGTTGGGTTAGAGTTTAGGGTGCAGGGTGTTCTTCTCAGTTTGGCTCTTATGATACTACCAAAGTGACTTTTGGTATTGTCGTTGAGCATAGTCGTATAAACTGTGATTGTTGTCGCGGTTCCGGTGCATGTTGCTGTCATGGTTGTTTTTTGTCATGAAAGCACCAGTATTGGATGGTGTTGCATCACGAGGCATCATCAGCTCGTTCCGGATGATGAGGGCCGGGTTTGACTGACAGAGGTAGATTCCGGCAGGAGTAATGGCAGCAGTTTATTCAGGAACTAGCTCTGCAGGGGTATCAAGTAACCAGAACAAGGATCACAGATACGTACGCAGCACAGCCTGAAGACATTGGATTCGCCGGCCAAGGCATCCACCAAGCCTTTGCTCGTCTTAGGTGGAGTTTAGAGGCTCGGGAGATGTCACGGAGCGTGAGCTCGTGTTCTCGCAGCACTGTGGGTTTACTCCACAAATTGAATCCGATAGGCTCCACCATTCATGTGCATAAAATTGAGCCTCCAATCCGTGACCGACTCAGTTCGTCGAAACTGACAAATGAGGCCAGCCTCTAAACGCCACGACCCAAACCCAAAGGCCTGAATTCAACCCTACTTCTTCAAACTTAAACCCTTCCGAAGAACGTGTCTCGTCCAACTCCCCTTCGGAGCCGCGTCGCCAGTGGCCTGGCTGGCATTCACACCATAAGAGTCTAAACTGATACCCAGCTGGAAAGCGAACCGATTATCAGCCCAAGGCAAGCGGCAAAAGCATCAAAGGTCCTACAGGGACCTTATAGTTCGAATAGGGTTTTGGGGTATATTGTAGTAGGAGAAGAGTGAAATAGTTATATTAAGTATCCCCAAGGAATAGGATGGTAATGATGGGCCTAACTTTCATCGGAATCTTTGCAGTTTCTTCGTTCACAGAATTCGATGCACAGGTTGAATTTTTGAAGCGATGTACTGTAAGGGCTTTCTTGCTCAGAACAGGCATGTTCTACTATATGAACACATATATACACACGATATGTACTATAAGTACGGTGATACATGGAATACCATTGGTATTTATTCTGACCCCTATGCTAGATCGGTGCCAACTTAATGAGGCTGTGCCAAGTCGGAACATATCGGTCTAGAATTAGAGCTCAGGCTTTCGGGCTTCAAGGGCGCCGTGTGCCAAAATTACGCTTGGCTCGGGCCTTGCCGTTTTTACAGGTACCCAAGCAACCCGCACCCTAGATTCTTAGTCTTCAGCCAGTTGCGGCCTTACCGGTGTGTGGAGCAGCATGTTGCCTTGGGACTGCTAGTTTAAATTGTACAAAGCTTGTACCTACCTGATTACACTGATTTCAGGCTCCCGATGCTGGGCCATCTCTTCAAGACGTCCTTTCCGCTGCACACGGGCGATGTGCAAAAATTGCTGCCGACACACGAAGATCCTACTTGCAACGATAGAACACTGCCTTGGAAATACAAGCCTTCGATTGTCCAGGACGTTCTCAGCGCAAGTTCTCAAACTAATTTCAGGATGTGGGGCTTGCAAACCCAAGCCGTTCCCCAAATGTAAGCGTCGTGCGCTCGCGCTGACGTGCAGCGGCACCGGAGAGCACGGCTCGCAATCGCTCGACCTGTTCTCAACGGAACTTGGGCTTACGAACCCTAGGGCTTGTCGGCATTTGTATTACTTATGATATACCAAGTGTGTGTGTGTGTATATGTGTATGTATATGTATATGTATATCGACGAACTCTCTCCAGCACATATACATAAACATACACATACAGAGTCACATGCACATACACATATACAGTTTACATATACATATGCATATACATATACATAATCCGGGCCGATCGGCCAATCGCCAAAATGGCCACGCAAAGCTGGGATCGCGGCTGTTCTTACGATCTGTAAACTGACCTCCTAATTCCGACCTACCAGACCGATAATTGGGCTTTCTCTCTCTCTCTCTCTCTCTCTCTCTCTATCTATCTGTCCATCCATCCATCCATCCATCCATCCATCCATCTATCTATCAATATATATATATATATACGTACACCGGTATTATATACATACATGTATGCACACACACACACGCATCTTATAAGGTTATAGTCATTGTAAGATAGGTTATCCAAGCATACGACGATATACTATAATGGTACACTAATGAGCTGCAATTTGAAGCAGGCTCCATGCCTCCCCTTGGACAGCTTCCAACAGCGAGCTGTAGAAGTTGTAGTCGCCACCGCTCAGATGGATCTCCTCCAAGCTGCTTTCTCGGGTCAAACACAAACTTCGGCCCGCGGGTAAGTGCCCGTTTCTGGTTCCTACGCCGCACTGTACGGAGGCTGCGGTTCAGGTTCGGCTTTAAGGCCCGACATGGCAAGACAAACAAAGGCGGAGCAACGAATAAATCCCTGTTTCAAGGCTCGAGAACACGAAGAACACGGGACCACGATAACAGTTCAGACAGCCTATTCTTTGGGCGTGTCTGTGCCTCTTGAAAGCAGAACCTAAACATTTGTTCCTGACCCCTAATATTGATTAAGACAAAACCTCAAGTCAACAGTGGGGTGTGAAAAACATGGCTTCTTTTTGCACCTCTTCTCCTCCTGCAGGTTTCCCCTTGGTCAGAATGAACGGCATGGGTTAGGGCGTCCAACACTTTCTACTGTTCTCTGATGCCCTTTGCAGCACGGGGACACAACAGTTTGTGAATAGGACCCAGCTTTACTGCACCAGTACCTAGCAGCTAGCACAAGCATTGTGATTTCAGCAATCGAAACATGCAACAATGTCGAACTGATCATGAGACCCCCCGGCAAGCAGAGTCCTCCAATCGACGCTTCAGTGCCTGGGAACGCCAATGTGTGCTTTTGCTACTCCTTGTGTTGTGTCTTCGCTGTCTCTTACGAAGTGCTCAGGAACACATGATTCAGCCGAACGCAGAATGGAATCTTCCCACACGCACAACAGGCAGACTTTAGAATATGGGGCTCGGAGGGGTCACATGGCGTCCTGAGATGCACCGACGATAGGTCAAGCTTTAGATGGGCAGAAGCTACATCTGCTTCAGGCCCAGCCTGTGAAGCTTCGAGCCCCTAATTTCCACCCCGCCCGGGCATCAACTGGGGCTCATTTGGGCAGGCTCGTCTCGACACGCTTGCCATAATGCACAGAATCTATTGGCCTAGGGCCTAGGGAGTTGAGCGTTTCAGGGTTTTGAGTTTCGAAGGCGCTGTCGTTTGCTGTTTTGCGATGTTTTGCGTTTTGGTGAATTCTGGGGCCTGTAATTAGGGTTCTTTCTTGGGGTTCAGAGATGTTTAGGGCTAGGGCTTTCCAGTAATCGAGGACGACCACATGAGCACTGGCACCTCCTCGCCCAGCTGGCGGGCCGCTTCCTTCGCCTCCTGAGAGACCTGGGCTTTGGCCTCACAGGGATCATCATTATCATCAGCATCGTCATCCTAAGGTTTGAACTCACTATATCGCATCTGATGGGTGTTGGGTTTCCAAGCTTTGTAGTTGAAGCATGGTGCTCTTCGTGGTCACGACTGCGCCCACGAGTACTACCACTACTCCAGTCGCTGCTGCTGCTGCAACTGCCATTTGTCCAGAAGCTCCCTTAACCCCGGGCTTAAGACCCAAAAAACAGCTGCAGCTACCCTCGCCCCGAAATGTTAAATCGTAGGGGCCCTGGGTAGTAGTCCGTACCTCGTCGCTGACTTGTCGCACTCGTTGGCCGGGTTTCTCCAGGCCTCGGGGTGGCCCCGGCATACTTCCGATTTCTCTCGTGGACGTATCCGGCCTGATAGTGCTTTAGACTGGCTTATACTATACTAACGGGGCTTTATAGGTGATTCGTGTTCAGTTCGTTTTATATCAGGCTTTTATAATCTATAGGGGTCCTGGCTGCTGGCCTAAAATGGCACTGCAAACGTCTCTTCTTACCTAAGAAGTCTTGGCCGCCTCCAGGACTCCAGGCTCCCTGGCGACCCCTAAAATCTTCGCTTCTAGCTCCTAAGCAGTCGGAGATCTGCATTCTAAGCCATGCAAGCACATCACCATCATCGTCACCATCATCATCTTCATCACTACCATCATCACCATCACCGTCAGCAGCATCATCACCATCAACATCAGCATCACCATCATACCCAGGGTCGAAGGGCTTTGGTTTCGGAGATGCCACACCCCGAGCTTTGCCCAGACATGTCTTTGCTGAAGCAAGGTCTTATCACACAGACTTTCGTCAGGGAAGGGCATCACCGAATACCCATGAGATCTTCGCCTATAACTTCCCTCAACCCGCATGTCGCTGGTCGCTTGAAGGAAAGCACGCGTTGTGTTTGCCAGGAAAGCGGCGATACGGTCCGCCACGGCCACCGAGCCCAGCAGTGTCGGCCCCACCTGTGCCACCGGCCCAGCGGTTGCCTGGCAGAGGGTAGGAAAAAAGGGATGGTTATATACATATATTCATCCACTTATTTATATGTATACATATATATATACATATATATATACATATATATATATACATATATATATATGTATAGGTTGACTGATTGACAATTACAATGCAATTTATGTTGTAGAGACCTTTTCCCTTATGGCCCAGGCTCGCGCCGCTTGCAGACTTCTCCAGAAACTTCGAAGCCGAAGCCCCTTCTTGACGCATGTTTTGCGGCTGCACACTTGGCTAGGAGTGCAGTCGAAGCTAGTCCTCCGACGCCTTGGCGCCATTGAGATCCTAGTGGCTGCTGGGACTATGATGCCCAGCCTCCGATGTGCTCCTTGTCGTCCTCGTCCCCATGCTTCGGGCTAGAGACGTCCTGAATCCCAAAATGCATCCGGCATGTAAGGGCAGAGTGGCTGGAGTCTTATCGAAATGGGAACACCTGGGCATTTCCTGACGGCACATCACCTTTAATAAGAAGCTCTAAGCCCTAAACCTCAAGATGCCCAAGAAACTTCTTGGGCTCTCTGCGGCTGTTATGTAGGGGCCTTTATGATAGGTGTAGGGTTTGGGGGTCTATGACACGGTAACTAGAATACATGGACTTCTTAAAATGCTACTTCTAATTCTGCCGACCCCTGCATTACCGTGGAAGAGGTGACTCGTCGCTGTCATAGCAGCAGCCGCTGGCTACGAAGACGGGCAACAACAAGACTGCCGATGTCAAAAGTTCCCCGGTATAACTTACAACAAACCAAAGCAGCAATACGGTTAACACGGAAACTCAGAACACATCGCCCCTGCAGGCCCTGGCAGTTTGAAGTAACACCCAATCATAACAATAATACGACATGTTCTAGTAGCAACAGCATCCACCGGATTTCAGGCCTTGGCCTGGCCCTTGCCGCTCATCTCTTGGCGACCACCACTGAGGGAGAGGTCCCTGCGATCTGTTGGCTCTTACGGGTCCGACAACGAGGGATCAGGCACACAAATCCTGATTTCCTTAAAAGACGTGCCTGGTCTTCTGCTGCTGTCGTCTTTGGCGCAGCGCCCGCCGGAGTAGCCGCTGACGAACACCCTGTGGCCCTCCTCGCCCTCCTCGTCCAGGAGCTCTACCACCGCCACCTGCCACAGCGCCTCGTGCGTTTGCGCGACCTCCGCCTTTGCCCATCGGCGGACCGCTGCGGCCGCCACGGCCACTTTGGCCTTCGCGGCCGCGGCCTCCAGAGCGTCCACCAGGTCGGGCGACAGGCTTTCCCACTGAGATTCGCGTGCCACCTCTGCCAGCACGGCCGCCAGCCCGGCCACCGGCTGGTGCACCAGCACTGCCGGCGCGGCCGGTGCCCACACGACCAGGAGCAGCGCGGCCAGACATGCCACGCCCACGCTGTGACCTCCCGCCCTTCCGCCTGTCAGGCAGATTGAGAATGGAATTGCTGCTTCTAGGCTTCTAGCTGTGCCACCAGCAACATGCTTTGGGAGCTCGCGGGTTCGAGTTTCGGTGCTTTATCGTGTACCACTTGAGGGCCCCAAAGCAAAATCCTGCGGGCAGGTGCCTGGTAGAGCGATTCGAGGGCATCTGCATGCCAGACTGTTCGCCAGAGTCCGACAGCTCGCCACCCTCCTGAGGACCGAGATCACCAAAAGCTGCAATACTTCGCAAGGCATGAAGCCCGGCAGCTTGCAGCTTTAACACGCAGAAACTCAAAGCGCGTAGGCTACAGATGGCTGCAGGCTGCTCACACTGGCCAACAAAGAGACGCTCTGTATGCCGCAAGCGAGTCAGAAGATTCAGGGCGGGGCATTTAGTCCGGGAAGTGGAGAGCATGGTGGGTGCACAGTTTACGGTGATGTGGGGTGGAGAAAGCTGAACATGCACATCAACATGAGCGACGAGAATGAGAAGCGACCGCCGGATTGCAAACATTTTGTTACGGCCATGTAAGTCCAAGTTGCTGTAACTTGAACTCACTCACTCACTTTAAGACACAGCAGAAGAAAGTAATCAGACTGCACATTAAGCTTGAACTTTCATTTGTATCCACTGCTCTAAAAAGGCTCCTTTCATGACTTGAGTCAGCTCGCGAAAAACTGCCTGATGGTTCCGAACACACACGGTTGGAGATACCCCAGACGGAACCGAGACATCCTGCATCCTCAACGGCAACTGCAGGTCCTCGTTTTCCTCCTCTTCTTCAAGCTCTGCTTCTGTGCCGTCCTCGCCTGCCATGACTTACACAGGGCTTTGGCAGAGGCCTATTCAGCTACGTTGCATGTTACCGGCGGCCCTAAGGCTCGGAGGTCGGCGCAAAGCTTCCCATGGCTGCGTCTGTCAGGGGGGGAATGCAAATAGGTCTCAACTTCGACTCTCTTCAGCCCCGAACCCTGAAGATCCCTGAAGCAAGCCTTCGTCTTCGCTGACCTCGGCCTCCTCGTCTGATGCATGGAACTCCTCCATGTCTTCCTTGCAAGGTGCTGGTGGGCCCGGATCTGCATTGCTCTGCGTGGTTTCGGATCTTGAATCGGACGCATGCATCATTCCAGAACCCTTTGGCCTTGCATCGACAGTGCGGTCTCTTTCAGGCATCCTCTTAGCGCGCAAGTCTTGGCTACTTCAGCTCTTCAAACACATCAAACACGAAGGAAGGCAGAGATCAGGGCAGGGTCATTATTCCACTGCGAACCCTGACATCGTTGGAACGGTACAGTACTTAACGACAACAGCCGGAGCCTCTTCCGTGTCGTCGTCGTACTCCTCTGCCTCGTCTTCTTCATTGTCCTCGTCTTCGAACTTCTCCTGTGATGGCGACTGCGTTAAGGGACATCCAAGGCAACCAGGAAACAAGGCTGCACGCTGGGCCCTACAGACCTACGGCTGGGATCGGTAACAGCATGTGTTTGGTCAGTAAACACAAGCACATACGCACAAGCCAAATTCGATGCAGCTCTGATAATCTGGGTCTGAGAGCCCTGCGCCTAATGTCGTCATCGCCGTCCTCAGCCATCGACTGCCAATGGCATCATCATCGTCGTCGTCATGATCCTCACCATCCTCATCGGGAGCATCATCATCTTGTCGGCATCATCGTCGTCGTTCAATGCCAGCTCCCGGACTCCCGACTCCCCCCTCATCTCTCGTAGAGCCCTCTCGCGAAAGCCTCTCAGGATCTCTGAGCCAATCTTCCTCCCATCACTACGACCTGCCAGTATTTATTCGTCGGACTCAGTTTTCCCATTCTTCTATGGGGCTGGTCCCTAAACCCTAAACCCTCAAGGGCTGGTCATGGTTCGTACGGCTCCTCCAGCAGCCCACGGAGGCCCTGGCGCTGAAAGTGCTCGGTGAGGCTCCGGGCGAGGCTGGCGGGGTGTGCCTGCCCCCATGCGCCGAGATCGGAGGCTTCGGATTCTGGGCTGTCGGATTCGGATTCTAGGGTCTTGGACTTAGGGTTTAAGGTTTCAGGGTTGCTCGACCGGGCCCACAACAGGTCCTTGCCGGGTTTCAGGGCTCTGTAAACCACAAACACGGAGGAGTTCATCTCTGTGGCCCTCGAGGCTTGGAAGGAGTATTGTTTAGGGATGTCGGTGAGATCGGGCGTTTGACACTTCGAATTCGGGGTGTTGGAGACGTCAAGCTGAAATCCTCAGGACCAGGTTTCAGGATTCAGTTTCACCCCTGATCTACAGATAGACATCGCAGAATCGCGGGATTTGATGTTCTGGAGCCTAACGCTGTCTCTGTATGTATGCCCGTTGGCAATCGTCTCGTTGCAATTATGAAAATGTGTATGTGAGGATGTAAACTTCAGACTCGAAGCCAATCGTGTTTTTGGTGTAAACTCTGAGCACTGCTGAGGTTGGTGGGCCGTCGTGCTTCAAGATTCACGAATGGGCTACAAGCAGGAAGACGCTTCCCTTCCTGCGGCTAGAACGATACGAAACCACTACTTCAAACATGAAGAACTGAGGCCAGAATTTCCAGCATTACCCATAATTATCGATTTGACTGTGAGTTACCAGGTCAGGACGTGTGGGAGTAGCCGGTATACACACGCAATATAGATTTATGTATGTATGTATGTATGAATGTATGTATGTATACACACACACATATATATTTCTGGAGTGTGTGTCGCTGTGAGGGCCCGCTTTTCTCGAATAAACATGAGGTTTTTCACTGTTTTTTTTACGTTTTTCTTCAATTTTGTTGACACGTCATGCTTCGAGATGTATTGAAATTACGGTTGTAAATGATCATATACCGACATGTGGGTAATATCTGCT